GAAAGTCAGTCCAGGGAGTCCGACGGGCATGAGCAGACCAAGGCTGGCTGACGTCGTCCAGCAAGGAGGGGGATTCTGACAGCGCCAGCGAACCGTCGCAGCTTCAGAGAACGCATCCGCGGCAGCCAAACTGGCTAAGGCAAACGCCGAACAACTGCTGAGAGATGCGCCTGCGCGCAGGAGACCAAAAGTCGTGTGTGCCGCAGTGCAAGAGTACACGAGTACCCACCAGGTGAGGGACACACGGTGAATCGGAGGTGGGCGTGCACCAAACTACTAAGTGACGGCAGCGCCATGCGACCCACGCAGCCAAGACGAGGAAGGCGCTCGAAGGACAGCAACTGTCGTATACCCAAGACAGCAAGTCCTTCACGTCACAGAGCCCCCGGGAGTGGTCGCACAACTAAATGCGCGTGGGAGCGACGAAAAGGACCGAGTGCCCGTCATACGCCGAGACCGTGCGGCGCATAGGTCTCACAGTGGTTGGTAACGCACAAGGCAACAGTGGGAGGCAGCACTGACGGTCACGCTGGTGGGGATACGCGAAGCGTCAACAATTGGAATCGGAAGCCGTCGAAATCGAAGCGAGCCGAATCGGAGGGGTAGCCACCGTGTGCAGCCCCCGTGTGCAGCTCCCAAGTGTGGCCCCCAGGTGTAGCCTCCAGCGGCCGGGCCCTCCGTGTAGCTACGCGCGCAGGGAGAAGTGAGAGCGTTCGCCCCCACCCTCCTCTGTGATAACACCAAGGGCCACAGGACAAATAGGAGAGGAGGAAGAGGACGCCAAGGGGTGAAGGACGGAGACGGAGGAGGAGGAGGAGGGGGAGGAAGAGGAGGAGGAGGAGGAGATGGAGGAGGGGGAGGAGGAGGAGGAGGAGGAGGAGGAGGAGGAGGAGGAGGAGGAGGAGGAGGAGGAGGACGACGATGATGAGGAGGAGGAGGAGGCGGAAGAGGAGAAGCCGCACTGGCCGAGGGCGGCGAGCTCTGGCAGGCCTCTGAGCAGAGCCTCGGTATCGCGCGGCCGGCGTGGCGGGCGGGCAACCTGCAGAGGCCAGCCGCGGCGCACTCTGGGCACTCCGAACTGGGGCGAGGAGGACCTGGCGGAAAGAAGAGGAGAGGGCGAGGGAGAGGGGAGAGGGGGAATGGGGGAGAAGGGGGGAGGAGGAGGAGGAAGAGGAGGAGGAGGAGGAAAGAGGAGCAGGACGATGAGGTTGATGGCGGGGGTGGAGGAAGGAGGAGGAGGAGGGAGGACAAGGAAGAGGAGGTGGAGGGGAGGGGAAGGAGGAAGAGGAGGAGGAGGAGGAGAAAAGAGGGGAAAAAAAAAATGAGGAGGAGGAGGAGGAGGAAGCGGAGGAGGCGGAGGAGGAGGAGGAGGGGGGGTGCGGAGGAGGAGGACGAGGAGGACGAGGAGGACGAGGAGGAGGAAAAAGACTAGAGAAAGGTGGGAGAGGATGAGAGAGGATAGGAGGACAGGACAGGACAGGGCAGGACAGGCGCCGATACCGCTCCCCGCGCGCGCGGGCACGGGCCGCGCCTCCTCAGGTCGGAGGCGGCGGCGGCGGAGGGCAGAAGAAAACGGAACACCACGGGCGAAGACCACTGAAGAGTGCGGAGGGTCCTCCTGGGCCGCCATCTTGCGCGTCTTGCTCTCGACGATATCACCTGGAAGAAAGAACGACAAATGCATACCCGCCCGTCGGAAGAAGTGAGCAGAAACACGAAGTAAGAAGGCGGATAAAGTAGATTGGGCTCGGGCCCACCCGAAGAACAGCAAAACACAGCAAAAGCAGATCGACTCTTGCAGTAGGAAGGCGCTTGAGGACATGTGGGATCTGGATATCTACAAATGACTATTTCAACGACTGGCGTTAGGTCGGGCATGTCCCCCGTACAGGCGGATTTTGGACGGAACAAATAATCAACTAATACCCCAAAATGGTCAAAAATAGTCAAAACATCTTCCCCCTATTATTTTCTGACTGTTTGAGAACATTCCCCCTGTAGAGGGACAGGCCCGACTTAAGACTGGCGTGTAAGCATCAAAGGATCGCAGAAGTGCGATCGGAGTTCTTGAGCCAGGCGCTGGACTCGCCACCCCCGTGGCGCGCAGAGCTCGCTCCGCGCCGACCCAAGAAATCCACGCGGACCTTCGAATGCTGGTCTTGGTGTGGAGGCCTCCTAGGTGGGGTCCGATTAGATGGGGTCCGAGGATCGCGCCGCAGCGCCCCTCCTACAGCACTGCCGCTAAAACACTCGAGTTCGAGGATACTACTACTGCGCTTGGGTACTATAGTCGTGGATTACTTCTACTTCAATACGACAGTAAGACTACCAATCCGTCCCCAATCCCCGCATGAGACACCGGACCATTGTGCACAAACGGAGCCA